GAAGGGGGAATGCCGGGGTGGGGGGCGCACGGGGCTGGAGGTGGAGCAGCGGCACCGCCGGGTGTTGGGTGGTGGTGCCCCCCTCCCCCCTGACATTCATGACAGACAATTTGCTAGTAAGTAAATAAGGGGTGTGCATCAGGAACTAGGACAACATCTGTTCACTGGGGCACCCCAAGGGAAGACAGGGTCTAATGGTCCCAAACTCCTGGAAGACCATTTTAGGCTGGACATAAGAAAAAACTTCTTTACCGTCCGAGTCCCCAGAGCCTATAATAGACTCCCCCAGAAGTGGTGCAAGCACCTACGCTGGACACTTTTAAGATATACTTGGATGCCTATCTTGCTGGATCATTTGACCCCAGCTGGCTTCCTGCCCTTTGGGCAGGAGGCTGGACCTGATGATCTTGCAAGATCTCTTTCAGCCCTAATGCCTATCAAATCTATGAAACCTTTGGGTTTAAGTCTCAGCAGGAACACTGGCACAGCCCAGTCAAAATTCCCAGCCAGGGCTGCAGCCAACACCCAATGTGTCTGAGGAAGGCAGAAAACCCCCCCATTTACACCGGTAAGGATCAGAAGAAAACCAACTGGAGGCATTCAGCATAGTATAATGCCAGGGTTGGGAGAGAACTGCGTCCCCTGTGTTTAAAATGTTGTGTAAGAATGCATGCACACTACCAAACAGCTGCCACATCGAACCCCAAGCGTGGCTGCAATCCAGCGGCAAGCAGAAGTGATTTCTGTAGCACATATGAAACTGCTTGGGAATGAGAGATATAACTGCAATTGACTTCAGTTATTGAGCAAGCTTAGAAAACATATCACACTCTATTTTCCAGTTTGGAGTTTAACCACACTCTAACCAAGCGGCGATATGTAACTCTGTGCCTTAGCCTTCTTCAGTATGGGGAAGATTAAAAAAAAAACCAAAAACACAACAACCTGAAAAAGGTATAAAGACAGACTCCTTATATTGAAAAAGTTTCCAGTGCTACTCTTGGAATGAAGGCAGCAACTATTTTGGTGCTTTTAACTTATATCCTGGGAGGGCACCAAATCCGTAGGGAACCTCCGAATCAGCCAGCAGAAAGCATGTCAAACAGTAGCATGAGCCAGTCTCCCCGCCCCCTTCATCAGAGCTGGGCTGTTTGGAAAAGTTACTCTAGGGCTAAAGAGTAATGCTGCTACAATCACTTGCCGCTGCTGCTCGTTCCTGATCTACCTGTTACTGATTAAAACGGCAAATTGTTACGGTAAAAAATCCGCCATTACTCACAATGCTCTCCAGTGTTTCACCACAGGGTCATTTGCAACCTTTACCACATCCCCCTATGAGTCATGTCGACTCCCAGAACAAATGCAGAGATTGTCAGGCTGTAGGCAGTAAAGTATGTTTGGCAGCAACAAGACTAAATAACTCCTTTAATATTAACAGCAGGTGATAGATTTCCAGTTACTGTGTTGCTTTCTCCCTCTTCTCTGCCAACGTGTCTCTACTGCCTTTTTTCCCTTGTACAGGGTGCACAAAAAAAAGTAGTGAAGGAAGTCTTGAACAGAAGCTTCATTATGCTTGAAGCTAAAGAAAACTCCTAGGCGTGATGCGACATTCCTTTCCAAGTCTCTGAGCTTTCTCAAAAACATGCATCCTTTCAGCAAACACTGGGGTGGACTGAGCCTGAAACATGAACGTTTTGCCAGTAGCTGAACAAACGCTCTGTGCAAAGAGCTTGTGGGGTATGGGCTGCGCATGCTGCTGGTGAGCTCCTGGCGAGATGCTGGGGCCTGTCTACCGAGCAGCTGAGCCTGCAATGTTACTGGGCTGGTTCTGTCCCTCTTGCTCCACTAATGAAGGATGATGTGCCAACCCCTGCAGTGAACAAGGAGAGACAGGCACGTCCAGAACTACACACTTGGATCTCAGGATCCTGGAGTTTTGGATCCCATTCTGGTTAGGACACCAACTACAAATGGATACCATAGTTGTGATCACAGCCTGACTATCCAGAGCAGTGATTCTCAACCAGGATGCCATGGCACCCCAGGGTGCTACTACATCCTGTCAAGGGTGTTGCGGGGTGCTACACGATGAGCGTACTGTTGGGTGTGCAAATGGTTCACAAGATAACCCCAGAGATTTCAATGTTTAAAATGTTCTGACCTGATGTGGTCTTTCTGAGATCTTTACAACAGAAGAATCACTTTAATATTTTTCTACAGTCAAAAAATGAGTGAAAGCTAAGAGCTGGCATTTTCCAAGGGGTGCATTGAGTCTGAGGGGTGTCTCGAGCCTAAGAAGGCTGAGAACCATCCGTCTTATGAGACCTTTTTTTGGTGAGGCCTTGGGACTGAGGCACGGGGCCAGGATGCAGGAGAGTTACCAGTTCTGTCACAGACCCCATGTGTGACTTAGGGCCAAAATGGAAATCCTACTCAGCCACCCCATTGATTTCATTTGGAGCAAGAAGGTTCTTAAATAATGGCTCTCACTTTTTCCAGCGGTCTCCCCTCATGGTAGTGAGCTGAAATAAAATGTTGGGAAAGCTCCTGATCCATATAATTAACCCTCTGTAACCACTTTATGTCTCTGTGATTCCTGGGATGACCATTGTAGGCGCCACACACTCAAGGACATGACAGAGGAATGCTTGTCTAGGGTGGTTTAACCAGGGATGATCCTTCCATGAGCAAAATTTGGACTAGATGACCTCCTACAGT